AAGCCTAAATTGGAGACTAGCACTTTCTGGTGCCTGCAGGGATTTTTCCCAAACTCCCTGAAGAAAGAAGCTCACTGCTGTTTAGAGCAAAGAGGGGAGAGGACACTCACCCTGAACTGCCTGGGAAAGGGGAAGGAGAGGCTGAGGGTTGGGGGAAAAAGAGTTTCCAGGGTCAACACATGAGGGATTACTGGTTATCACTGCTGTCCAGGTCGATTCTGCCCAAGGGCAGTACTAGAACACTGGAAGCAAGGTGTGACCTCCACTCTCGGGCCATGGAAACTATGAAGGAAGTGTAAGAGATCTGATTGTCTGTTTGCTGCAGACATAGCTGGAGGGGTATGAGATTTAGCCACCTTTGGAGCCTCAGGGCAGGTCAGGAAGTTGCATCTCCAGCCTTTGGGTGACACCAGGGAGTACCCCCCCCCCCGCCCCCGCCAGAACACCTTTTATGGCTTGAAGACACTTTCCTTTCTACCAGGTGTTTTTGGACCTCCTCTTAAGTGGGTCAGATCTTGAAAGACAGAGAATTAGAGTTTAAGGAGAGGAAGAAAAAGCCTCGGTGCACTGAAGTCTAGCTCTGTCCACGTAGCATTGGCAGTTCGGTATAAACCCCCGGCTGAAATCTGATTGCCTGCCTTACAGCTGTGATGGGCTCATAGCTTTTCCTCAGTTTCCCAAGGGAAAAACCCTCCTTGACAAGACAGAGAGAGAGAGAGAGAGAGAGAGAAAAGGTCAACCTGAGAGTTCCACTGTAGCTAGGCCACAGTTGGGGGTCTCTCCTGAAAAACAGACTCCATCAGTGTGCCGGATGCTCACGGTCACATTCCTAGGCAGCCTTTCCCAGTTTGGCACAATCTATACTGACCTCAGGTGATGGCTGGACCCTTCGTGCATCACCAAATATGATGCACGGATGACAACGCACAGGAATTTCAGGTGCTCAGGGTTCTTGAGCCTGCTCTGAGAATGAAAGCACAGACTCCAACAGCAGAGGTCGGAAAGATTTTATTTGTAGAGAAGAGAAGAGAAAGACTGCATATTGGGGAATGCAGGGGGACCTGGAAACTGGTGATCCCCTGGGTCAGGGTGGGGAATGGGGTTTCATAGACTTTTTTGCATTGCCTAAGGGCAGAGATGCCTTTCAGATGCAGCCGGGCATTCCCTAGGGAGGAGAAGTGTCTCCTTGACCTTCCACGGTCTGTCCTTCAACACAACTGAGGTGCAGCAGATGAAAGAGATGCACAGGGCAAGGTGTGTGTGTGGAGGGGAGGAGTGCAGAGCCTCCAAGCTGCCTTCCCAGCACCATGATACCTTCTCCATTTTTCATCTTTGTTCATGGTATGAGCATGGTAGGGAAGTTTAGATGTCACATACAGAGCTCTTTGGACCCATAACTTCCCCTCAACACACATTGCTAGGGATTGTACCCAGGTCCTTTAGCATGCTAAACACATGTTCTACTTCCGAGCTATATCCCCAAGCCCCCAATGACTTTTTTTAAAGACAGGGTCTCACTATGTAGGCTTAGGCCAGTCTTGAACTTGCAATATTCCTGCCTCAGCCTCCCAAGTGACAATTTTTAAGTGCTTATTATTAGTATATGATAGTTATACAGGGAGTTTTGTTGTGAGATTTCCATATGTACATATATTGTATCCTGGTTTGCTTCATCCTATTAATCTCGCTTTTCTATTCCTCTTCTTAAAATGACTTCAACAGGTTTCAATGTTCCATATTCATACAGGTATAGAAAGTACCTCAATCATATTCACCCTCTTTGCTGGAATGTCGAGAAACACTGAAACAATGCAAATGCTAGAATGTCGAGAAAACAACACACATACCTGCCCAACCCCGACCTTTCCGCAAATGTCCAGCACCTCCCGAATCCTCCTTCCCAACCATCTCACCTAATGCCCACCCCACTCCAACATCCCTCTTCCAGCACAGGAGTTTAAAATCCCCAGCCTGTAAGAAAGGAGTGCTCCAGCCCCTCTCAGAGTGTTACTCTGATGGCCGAGGGTCCCTCTCAGGTCTCCTCTCCCTAATAAAGACCTGCTGCTTATGAAGGTCACAAATTCTTTCTCAGTATGTCTCTCTTATCAGCTTCTTCACTTTCCTTTCACTCTTCATTGACCCTCCCCTTAACATGACCTGTTTTACACTCCTATCTTTCATTGTTTTACTGTCTGTTCATTATTCAATAGGGGTCTGCGTTGGTATTTTACCTGTAAATATATTGTACTTTAATCAATCAAACCCCCTCTGTCACTCTTCCTTATCCTCTTCCTCCTATCTTGTATTGTTCAACAGTTGTCAGTGTGGTTTGCTATGTCTTATTTCTACACAGATGTGATGTATTTCAATATTATTTACTCCCTAGTATTCTTTTCTTCTTTTCCTCCTTCCTTAGTTTCCTCTAACAGTCCCGCTTTTAGAAATCTGTTCTACAAACTGAGTGACTTTTTTTTTTTTTCAATACTGGGGCTTGAACTCAAGACCTACATCTTGAGCCACACCACCAGCCCTTTTTTGTGTGTTAGGTATTTTCAAGATAGGGTCTTGAGAACTAGCTGCTTATGCTGTCTTCGAACCATAATCCTCCTGATCTCTGTCTCCTGAGTAGCTAGGATTACAGGCACACAGCCTGAGTGACACTTTTAACAGTAAAGTTTTAGAACACTTTCTTGCTGCCCCCCAAATTTTGATGGGTTAGTATGATCCGAGAGTTGAGCAGAGGCCACATGACACAGTTCTAGCTAAAGAAATGTAAATTGATAGGGTTTCTTGGCAACTCCTCAGTAAAGAGGAAAGTCCACCTTCAGTAGACATGTGCTTTTCACCCTTTATTCCTCCTCTTTTCTGAAATGTGAAGCATAGGCTGGAGGCAAGCATCTGTCTTATAACTATGAGGACTAAGGTTGGAAATACACAGCCTGGTACACAAAGGCTTCATGGGGCTATACTCCAGCCTGGCTATTTACTCAAGGGCCACTTTTACCCAGTTAGGAAAAACATATTTTTTCAGTGCTGGGGTTGAACTTAAGGTTTTGAGTTTGCTAGGCAGGGTCTGTACCACTTGACCCATGCCTCCAGCCCTGTTTGACTTTGTTTGTTTAGAGAGAGTTTGTAACTCATTACCAAATGTAATTTCTAACTGATACATATAAAAATTGTTGTGATAGAGCACCTGCCTACCAAACATGAGGCTCAGAGTACCAGTACCACCAAAATAAATATTTCTGCCATTTCTTCTAGTATTTAAAACTTGTCATGGGGTTGCTTTATTTTCTGCTCTTCTACATTGACATTGCATTTTCATCTTTATTTGTATGCTGTTATGTCTCCTTTGATCAAACTTATTGAAGTGTTTGTCTTCTTTTTACAAATAGCTATTTACTTATTCTTTCTACTATTTTCTTTGTGTTGTTCCTGGGATTTTTTTTTTGTTTTTTGAGACAGGGTTTCAATATATAGACTAGGCTGGCCTCCAACCTACTGTAGCAGAGGAGGCTGTCTTTGAGCTCTTCATCCTCTTGCCTTAACCTCTAGTGATGGGATTACAAAGTATATGCCATTGTTTCACTCTTTTTGTTTCTTTTTAGCTGTTAAAAAAAAAGATTCTAAGTATTCTTAAATTTGTCATTAGTAATGAACTTCTCTTAAGGCAGAAATTTTCCTCTTAATAGTTTTAGCTACATCCTGTAGCTAGAGTGTGAAGAGAACCTACCTTTGCAGTGTTTCAGATACAGTTTGCAAGTTCAGATTTGAGTTTCTTTTTAAATTTTTTTGCTGGTACTGGGGTTTAAACTCAGAGCCTGGCCTTGCTAAACAGGTGCTCCATCACTTGAGCTACACCACAGCACTTGAGTTTCTTTTTGATCCAGAAGCTTTTGAGAGGATGGGAATGTGGCTCAGGTGGTAGAGCGCCTGCCAAGCAAGTGTGAGCTCCTGAATTCAAACCCCAGTATTGTCAAAAAAAAAAAAAGACAATTTAATTTACAAGTATTTGTTTCTTTTTCTGCATTTTGTGGTTTGTTTAGAATGAATGGTGTTGTGATAAAGTCATGTGCCCTTTTGTATCTCTTTAGTCAACTTACAAAACTAGAGGCCTGGCTCAAGAGGTAGAGTACCTGCCTCACAAGCGCAAAGCCCTGAGTTCAGACCTCAGGACCACAAAAAACAAACAAAAAAAAACCAACAAAAAAACCCCCATGGGCTTATTTATGCAACCTTCTCTCTCTACACATAAACTGAGCTTGCTCTAAGCATTACCTTTAATCCTACCCTTGTTTTTTGTCGCAGATGTGTCAATTCTGCACTGGATGTACTGAAGTCAACTTGCCAGTCTGTGGGCAGCCTATTGTCCTCTCAACCCAAGGAATCCCAGCAGAGGCTGGAGGCTGTGGCTCCTCGGAGGGCAGGGCAGGGCGGGGCGGAGGCAGGGATAGCGGGCAGTCGGTCAGTTGCCAGGAAGCGTGGCCGGGACATAATGGGGCCTGGGAGTTGATGCGTGGGGGTGTCTAGCTACCTCGCCTTGCTTTAGAAAGCCGGGGTGTCATCACGCAGGTCAGTGCATCTCAGGGCCTTCCTTTGGAACACCGGGTCCCCCCACGAGGCCCCTCCCCGGGGCATCCTTTCCCAACACCCCTAAAATCTCCTCACCCTCACCCAGAAGTTCCGGGTAATTCTCTTTCCAAGGTCAGAGTCTAAACTTGGCACGCGCGTACACAGTCCTACTGAGTGCCCTTGGGGTGGGAGGCCGGAGATGGCCTTGAAGCGGGTACGTGTGTCCGACACCCGCCCCCCCGCCCCGGCCCTCCACTGAGCCGGGAAACTACTGTTTGTTTTCCCGGCTCCTGGGATACAGGATGGGCCCCGCCCCAGTCGTGCTGGTGGCCAAAGGAGCGTAGTACCCCGCGGGCTCGAGGGGGAAGAGCCCGGCCGCCACCTTCTGTCCACAGGTGCTTCGGGTCATTAGCGCCCCAGCCCGCGCCATGGGCTCCGACGTCTGGGTCGGCCCTTGGCGGCCACACCGGCCCCGCGGCCCCATCGCCGCGCTCTACAAAGGCCCGGGGCCCAAATACAAGCTGCCGCCGAACACCGGTAGCCGGGGATGGCGCGCGGGAGGAGGCGGGAAGGAGGGACAGTGCAGGGAACAAAACCGGTGCCGGGACCGGGTTGGGAGTGTGTGTGTAGGGGGGAGGGTCTGTGCAGGGTACAGCGGACTGTGCTGGGAGAAGGGAGGGACTGAGGCCCAGAGCTACTGGGCCCGGCCAGGGGTGACGCAGGGACACTCCCACAGGCTACATCCTGCATGACCCGTCGCGGCCACGCGCCCCCGCCTTCACCTTCGGTGCGCGCCTCCCCACGCAACAGACATCATGCAGCCCGGGGCCCGGCCACCTGGTGCCCGCCCGCATGACCGTGCGCGGCCGGGACGGCAGCCCTGCCTACTCCATCTATGGCCGCCTGCGCCACTCAGCGCCCTTCCTCACTCCCGGACCGGGTCAGCACCCTGGGACTGTAGCCTCCCTAACACTGAGCTGTCGCTGGGGAGGCCCACGGGAACCCCCACCTAACACCCCATATACGAATGTCAAAGTCCTGAACCCTAACCCCACAGAGCTTTAAGTTGTGCTTCCGATTTGCCCTAGTTCCAAGACCCCAGCCTGGGTTACCCAAGGGCCCTCACCCAGTTCTGGCCCACACTCTTGGCTCACCCCGCAGGCAGGTACTTCCCAGAAAGAGCGGGAAACGCAACGTATCCTAGCGCACCTCGGCACACGATCGCTCCCCGAAACTGGGGTGTCCACTCGAAGCAGCAGACTCCAGGTGAGGCCAGATAGGCCCGTCCGGGCACTGGGAACCTTCCCACCCCCGACCAGGGACCACCCGCAAAGGCTAGGAGACCCTGCTCTTATCAGCAAAGGCCGACCCCACCCAACACCTAGCTGGCTCCTTCCCAGGCCCCGGGACCTACACTGTGCCTTCTCTCTTGGGCCCGCGTATCATCGGCAAAGTCTCGGCTCCAACTTACTCCATCTACGGCCGCAGCGCAGTAGGCAGCTGCTTCGAGGACCTCAGCAAGGTGAGGAGGGGCCGCGGGCTCAGCGTCCCGAGAATCAGGGTCCAAGGGGAACCGACGTCCGACCCAGTATTCCTTCCCTCCCACAGACCCCTGGACCCTGTGCCTACCACGTGGTGAACCCGGGGGTCTACAAGACCCGAGCCCCCCAGTTCACGATGCTGGCGCGGACCTCGCTACCCCAAGACAGCACTCTGAAGCCGGGACCCGCAGCCTACACCGTGGACCAGGTGGTCTGGAGTTCAGGGGCAAGGGTCAGAGGCAGGGGCTGAGGTCCGAGATATGGGTCAAGGTTCCCAGGGGAACAGGGGTCCCCGCGCGAAGTCGGCTGTCCGGTTCCGCGAGGTCAGCGGTGTCTCCTGGGCCCGCAGCATCGGAAGCCTCGCGGCTGGAGCTTTGGGATCCGGCACTCCGACTACCTGGCCCCGATGGTGACCGATGTGGACAACTGACACAGCAGGGCGTCAGGGCGCAGGTCCATTGCTGTTTGCTTAAAGCTTCCTGAGCCAGCCGCGGGTCCGCCTCTTTCTTTCTCCGCGCCGTACGTGAGGCTGCAAGTGGGGAGCTTGTCTGAGGCAGGGCAGTGCCCAGTCGTCTCAGAGATGTCCAAACGTGGGGCAGCGTCCGAACGTAGAGATTCGTCACAGAGCAAGACCGAGACAAAGACACTTCGGGGATACCCCAGCCAGCAGGGGAACCGAGCAGAGCGGGCCCGGATCCCGCAGGCCACACGCTCCTGACCCTCGCGGTCCCGGAAGTCCCTTTTTTGCGGGACACTTCGGAGATTGGTCACGCGACAAGCAAGGCTCCCCTTGGACAGCGATTGGCCTGACCCTGGAGAACACCGCCTACTGGGACCGTCCCACCCACACACCATCCTTGGGCCACTATAAACCATCCCGGACCTGAGTCTGCTGTGGTCAGTGGACAGTTTGCGCGTCCCTTGCTGTCTTCACCCTGTGCCTTCTGGGCAGAGCCAGACCAGAATCCGGAGCAGGACGGGGGCGGGCCGCTGAACTGAATAGGTATGGGCCGGAATCAGGTTGTGAGATCCTGAGATGTAAGCCAGACACGAACAGGGGCAACACAGACATGGGACTGAGTGATGGACACCAGAGAGGCATACAGGAGTAGGGGCCAGACAAGTGGGAATGGCAGCAGGAACGTGGGCTTGGTGGCAGGTTCTAGGTGTTTCTTCCTTCCCCTACAGGCCCAGAGCAAATGGCGTCCCCACCCACCCCAGTCGTGCCAGGTAGCCACTCGGGAGGAGGGAGTGGGGGATCCCCTGACCCCCTGACACAGTCCAAGCAGCTACCAGAGCTGATCCGCAAGAAACGAGATGGCGGCCGCCTGAGCGAGGCGGACATCAGGGACTTTGTGCTTGCTGTGGTGAACGGGAGTGCACAGGGCACACAGATTGGTGTGTGGGGAAGGCTGGGCACCCCTAACCCAGACTTTAACCCTGACTCCAACTGCCTCAAAGTACCCCACCATCATCACTGACCCCAGGATACCTCTGCTGTGAGACACCCCTCTCATGTCCACACCTAGGGGCCATGCTGATGGCCATCCGACTGCAGGGCATGGATCTGGAGGAGACTTCTTTGCTGACCCAGGCCCTGGCCAAGTCTGGGCAGCAGTTGGAGTGGCCAGAAGCCTGGCACCAGCAGCTTGTGGACAAACATTCCACAGGGGGTGTGGGCGACAAGGTCAGCCTGGTCCTGGCACCAGCCCTGGCTGCGTGTGGCTGCAAGGTTAGAGGCCACCTCCTCTCTATAAGCTCTAACAGGCAGTTCCTAACCTGAAGCCTGGTCCAGAGCCCCCAAAGACAGGATCCAGGCTTGTCCTACCCCACCCCCAGTACATAACTTGGGTCCACCATAGGCCCCAGCCAAGGCCCCTTGGAACAGGACCAAGTTCCACTGACAGAATGCAGCCCTCTCTTCTCCGTCTGTACCCTCGACAGGACCCTCGAAGAGAGCTGGGTCTTCTTGTCCCTTTCCCCCAGACTTGTGTCCCCAGGGATGGGTGCCAGCTCCTCTCTCATTGACATCTACCCCCGCCAGCCAGGACAATTTATTCTTTCCATCAGCTGGGCACCCACTTCAACTATTTAAAATATTTTAAATTGTAAAATACTACAACTGCTAAAAAAAAAAAAAAAGAAAAAAGAAAAATCTAGCTGAAGTCCTAACCAGGGAAAGTGAGGGCACGTGGGGGTGAGGGGAGTTGCATGGGGGCACTCAGTACCCCTGCCCACCAGGTGCCAATGATCAGTGGACGTGGCCTGGGACACACAGGTGGCACCTTGGATAAACTGGAGTCTATTCCTGGGTTCAATGTTATCCAGAGTCCAGAGCAGGTAGGTACAGTTGGGCCACTGATTATCACTGACCTAGGGTGATGGAGGTGTTGGCCAGAATCACTGATGGGTTATTGATCAGGGTCACTAATGAGAACATTGACTATTCAAAGGTCACTGATAGGCAGTAGACTTGGGTCAACAACAGAACTTTGATCAGGATCATTACTGGGGACGGGGTCAAAACCCCTGATGGGCTGCTAATTATTAACGGGTCATATACACTGAGGGATCCTTAACAGGTCAGTCACTGCTGACACTTATCAGAATCATCCACAGGTTAGTGAGAGTTGCTGGCCATGGTTTTGGACCTTTGTTGGTCAGGGCCAGTGACAGGGCTCTTCATCAGAGGTCACTGGAGGCTGTCTGACCAGATGCAGCTGCTGCTGGAGCGAGTGGGCTGTTGCATTGTGGGCCAGAGTGAGAAGCTGGTTCCTGCTGATGGAATCCTATATGCTGCTCGGGATGTGACAGCCACCGTGGACAGCCTACCACTCATCACAGGTGGCCTGACCAATGACTCATAGGATAGTCTGACTGATGTACAACCCACTAGGCACTGCCACCCTTATCATAAGGGCGACCCCTACTGACCCCAATCAGCATCCCCTGGGATAATGTTTTGCTTCCCGCCCCACCCCCGACCTCCCAGCCTCCATCCTCAGTAAGAAGGTCGTGGAGGGGCTGTCTGCTCTGGTGGTGGACGTTAAATTCGGCGGAGCCGCAGTCTTCCCAGACCAGGAGCAGGCCCGGGAGCTGGCAAGGGCACTGGTGAGCTGCATGCTGAGGCCTCCGTGGGGAGTCTCTCCATGTGAGCCAGACCTTCCCTCACACACCCACCTGCCTCTGCCCATTCAGCAGTCTTGCTGGACCCCAGCTGGCAGTGCCTCCTTCCTTACACCTCACCAACCCTATCCAATCAAGGCTGGTCAGGGGGCCCCTCCATTTCAAGTCAGGGACAAGGTCCTCCTGACCACCGCTGAGCGTTGGCACAGTGTTGGCTTCTAGTCCCTACCCAAACTTTCCCCGACCTCATCCTGAGAGGATGGAGTTTGCTGATGCTGGCAGCAGAAGCCCCGAGAGGAGCTGGACGAGACCCCACTGGGCCGTACCTCCGCAGGTTGGCGTGGGGGCGGGCCTGGGGCTGAGGGTGGCAGCAGCCCTGACCGCCATGGACAATCCCCTGGGCCGCAGTATTGGCCACACCCTGGAGGTGGAGGAAGCTCTGCTTTGCCTGGATGGTGCGGGGCCGCCAGACCTGCGGGACCTGGTCACCAGGCTCGGTGAGGAGTGGGGAGAGAAGGTTGGGGTTCCGGCTACAGCGCTGTCTAACTGGTGCCTGCAGTCCCAGCCCCACCTGAGCCCCATCCCGCCCGCCGGCAGGGGGCGCTCTGCTCTGGATGAACGGACAGGCAGAAGCCCAAGCCCAGGGAGCCGCTCGGGTGGCCGCGGCGTTGGACGACGGCTCCGCGCGGGGTCGCTTCCAGCAGATGCTTGCGGCGCAGGGCGTGGACTCGGGCCTGGCCAGAGCGCTGTGCTCCGGGAGCCCCTCGCAGCGCCGCCAGCTGCTCCCCTGCGCCCGGAAGCAAGAGGAGCTGCGTGCGCCCGCGGACGGTAGGGCCAGGGATCCCGAGTCCCAGAAACCTCCCCGCCGTCCTCCCTTTCCTCCGTTCTTGCCCCTCTAGTGGTTCTCTAGCGCCTGTCCTCTCCCGCAGGAACTGTGGAGCGCATCCTGGCCCTGCCGCTGGCGCTTGTGCTGCACGAGCTAGGGGCTGGACGTAGCCGCGCCGGGGAGTCGCTCCGGCCAGGAGTAGGAGCGGAGCTGCTGGTCGACGTCGGCCAGAGTCTGCGCCGCGGTGAGCGCCACCCCGGGCTTCCTGATCGCGCAGACCCCCGGCTGTTCCCTGCGGTCTCCCTGACCTTCCTGGTCACCCCGGCAGGAACACCCTGGCTCCGCGTGCACTTGGACGGACCGGCTCTCAGTGGCACGCAGCGCCGCGTCCTGCAGGGGGCGCTCGTGCTGTCCGACCGCGCGCCCTTTACAGCCCCCTCACCTTTCGTGGAGCTGGTCCTGCCGCCTGTCGCCAGGCGGACCTAAAGGTGCAGCCTAGCCGCGTGAGTGCAGGGCCAGGGCGGAGCGGGCGGGTCCAGGGCCTATCAGTCGCGAGGTCCCCGCGGCCGCCTTGTGCGCAGGCGCGGCGCCATCGGCACATGCGTCCTGACGGCAAGCAAGGCGGCCGGATTTGGGCCCACTTGCGCTGCTTCTGGGGCCCGGCGCCCTGGAGCGAGGTGCGGACTCTGGGGTAAGGGGACCCAGTTGAGGCCGCTCTGTCTCGTGAGCGCTTTCCGGTCCCACTTTCTCTCACTGATCCTGGAGGACCCCAGCCTTAGAGCAATCAGGATATTGTCGGCTACCCCGCTGTGCTCTCCTGTGAGCCACCTTCCAGACAGGAAGCGTCCTGGGGGAATCCCGATCTCCAACTGGCAAAGCCCCAGGGCCTCGCAGAGAAGGCACGGAGGCCAACAGGCCAGGGCTGTGCCAGCCAGAGATGCCCCGAGTCTGCCTGGTAGGTCAAATTAATCCTCCGGAGTATGGCGACTGATGGTGATCATCGTGTAGTCGTTGGCCCACTGGGGCGATCGGTAGCGGCGGCGGCCTTATGCCAGGGCAGCATCATTTTTAGGGTGTTTTTTGGTGGGGAAGGCAGAGGCAGGTAACACTTTATTAAACTGGGCCAGCCAGGATGCAGCACCAGAGTGAGCGCCCCTCAGCACACAGGGGCGGCAGGCCTCAATCCCCTCTATCGCCCCCCTCATCCCCACTGAGGCTGGGCCATGGAGGGACAGCACAGGTCTGGAACTGGGTGTGGGCTCATTGATGAGTAAGCAGTCTCCAGCCCGAACTGCTTGGGTATTCTCCACCGTGCAGTAGACCTGCAGAAGCGAGGCATCAATAGGATTGGGGAGTGGGACCCCAACCCCACTCCTCAATCCAGTGGGCCCAGCACCCGGTGGAGAGGTGGTACAGGTTTTCCGAGCTGCTAAGGCCAGAAAGGTGTGGTAAAATTGGTCCCTGAAGTAAAAGGAAAGGGCTGGAGGAAAAAGTTACTCCCTAAAAGGTGGCAAACCGGTTTTCCACTTCCCTTCAAGAAATGGGTTTACTGCAAATAGACAGATGTGCCCAGGAGGCCAAGCAAGGCGTGCTGAGAATGCTTCCAGTCAGCCAGACAAGAGGCCTAGCAAGGCAGGGTGAAGGAGACTGAAGTGCCAAGGCTAAAGGATAGGAGTAGTAAGTGTGGGGTAGACCAGATGCAGACAAGCTGGTTTCAGAGGTGGAGCAGTTCTGAACTCAGTTGAGCAGGCACAAACAACTGGCAATCCTTAAGGTGGGACAGTAGGTCTTTCTCAGTGAGGGCCCAAGCACCTTCTTGTCTGCTGTCCTGGCTTCTGACAACTTTGTTCTTTTTCAGGAGCACCAGGTCCATGCTGCTGCTGGCTCAGGGACCCAAAGCTTGGCCCAGGCTCTCTCGGCTCAAGCCCTGCTTCCTCCCTAAGATCTTGGGAGCTGAGACCATGCATTTGAGGTCTCAGCACTGGTCCCGGCCAGGCCCACCCCAAGGCCCTGGACTAGGAACTAGGCTGCTGATCACTGCCTTGTTTGGGGCTGGGCTGGGCTGGGCCTGGTTGTCTGCAAGGGTTGAGAAGGAACAGCGGCGGCAGCAGCAACGAACAGAGGCCCTGCGCCAGGCTGCTGTGGGCCAAGGTGACTTCAGCCTACTGGATCATCAAGGCCAGTCTCGATGCAAGGCAGACTTCCGGGGCCAGTGGGTACTGATGTATTTTGGCTTTACTCACTGCCCTGACATCTGCCCAGATGAGCTGGAGAAGCTAGTGCAGGTAGTACAACAGCTAGAGGCAGAGCCTGGCCTGCCCCTGGTGCAGCCTGTCTTCATTACTGTGGACCCTGAACGAGATGATGTAGCAGCCATGGCCCGATATGTGCAGGAGTTCCACCCAAGGCTGCTGGGTCTGACTGGCTCTGCAGAACAGGTGGCCCAGGCTAGCCACAGCTACCGTGTATACTACAGTGCCGGCCCCAAGGATGAGGACCAGGACTACATCGTGGACCACTCAATTGCCATCTACCTGCTCAACCCTGATGGCCTCTTCACAGACTACTATGGTCGGAGCAGATCAGCAGAACAGATTGCAGCCAGTGTGCGGCAGCACATGGCTACCTTCTGCAGCATCCTGCCCTGAGCCTTCACAGCCTGGGCCTTATCATTAAATGGGTGTACTTAATGGTGTGTGTGTGTGTGTGTAATCTGTACCAGCAGTCCATGGAAGCCAGGGATTCAGGAGCCAGGATCCAGGCAGCTCTTCTCTGCACACAGCACTTGCAAAGTTTTTTTGTGGGGGTAGGTGGGATGGCAACACCATTTTATTAGATGGAAGCAGCATAGGGATAAGCAGCCCCTTAGCACGCAGGATGAGGGGACAAGACTTCCAGGGCTCTCCACTCAGGGTTGGGCCATGGAAGGGGCAATGTAGGTCTGGAATCGCGTGTGGGCTCGCTGGTGTGTGAGCAGTTTCAGAGACATGGTATCCACAGCTGCTTCCAGCCCTGGCTGCTGAGTGATCTCTACAGTGTAGTCGTTAGCCTGCCGGAGTAAGGCATCAGTAGGGTCCAGGGCCATCTCCCCCTCCCATGTGTCCTGGGCCACTCACCAGCTGCAGGGAGGCCAACATGGAGCGACACACCTCAAAGGCAGGCTGTCCAGCCACCAGTTCCGCAAAGGGACACCATTCATTGAGCTGGGGGAACTGTGAGACGACCTGGTCCCCGTAGGTGTGGATATCAAAGGGCACATGCTGCTCCTACACAGGGGAAGGACCTGTTGACTGTGGATAGGGCCAAGGCCCAGACAAAGGCTAGGCAGACACCTGGAGACTGCAGTTGCCAAGGAGTGTCCACCTCACCTGCTCCTGGAGCAGGGGCTGGATGGTGTCCTCCCAGTCTCTGATGCGCTGGCTTAGCTCCGTCTCCTGGACAAACTTCTGGGAGGTGGCAATGAAGAGCTCCTACGGAATGACCAGGGGGGGCTTCTACTTTGCATGCAGAGCCCTTGGGTGCCCCACTCAGCTCCCACCCTCTGATCCAAGCCTACCACATTCCTTCGAACCAGTTCCTCATAGCTCAGAGATTCTGGTGTGGTCTCTGCATCTGGGGAGGGCCAATCATGAGTTGCTGAGCTGAGGGATCACACACATTCTCCCCTTCCACAGCTCTAGCTCCCTCAAAATACCCTGGCCAGCTGCCAACTCAGACCTACCCAGGTTGGCAGCTTCCCCAGGCTTTTCCCCCTCAGGCTCAGCATACTCCTCAGGCTCTATAAAATCATCTGTGGGGACATGGAACAGGCAACTGGCAGCTGGCACCAAGTGCTGAGCCCCCTCCACCCCGCAAACCACCCCCACAAGCACATACCTGCCACCCCCAGGTCCTCCAGAGAATCTTCCAGGCGGTCCTCCTCTGCAGGCCACAGCTTCTCCTCAGCTCTGGGCAGCCACCGCTCAGCCATCTGTCCAGAGAAAGCATCTGAGGACACTGTCATCTCTTTGGGTCCCATGGCTTCCCAGACCTTAGCCTTGTGGGTACTTGCCTCCCGCCTCTGTAGCTTCCGGAGGGTCTCCAGCTGGTCATTCACATGCTTCCAGTACAAGACCTCCATGTCTGTAGACAAAGGATGAAGTTCCCACATCCTGCCCAGATTCCTACCAGTCTACCCAGGGTCTTGGGTGACCTGGCAAAAGGTTTGGGGAGACAGACAGTATTAGTCTTCCCTGAGCAAATACACAGGACCCCAGGCTCACCTGAAAAGCTTGGGCCCTTTCGCCGAGGCCTCCTACTATCAGCATGGTCAGCATCTGTGAGAAACCGGGTCAGCAGGAACCCAGCCAAAGCCATGACCTCCCTCAGGCTGGGAGCTGCTCACTGCATTGGAGGAGATGGGGGATGTGCCACCCCAGCCCATCACACCCACTCACAGGCAGCCAGGTACCACTGGTGAAAGTCTTGCAGCTTGGTGGTGCCTTTCCTCTTGCGCTTCTGTCCTGGAGCCTCCTCCACACAGGGAGGCACAGAATAAGGCCTACCTGGGGGCAGATAAGGACTGTTTAGGATCAGGAGAGTCTACTCTTACCCTACTTCCCCATGTCCCAGCAAACCTGGCCAGGGGAGCCTAAGTGGAAGCACCCCCACCTAGTTACCTTTCTTGAAGGGCTTAGAGTCCAGAGAATCAAAGGGGTCCAGGCTCTGCCAGGGGTCTGGAGTCTCCTAAGCACAGAGCACAATCAGATCCTGATCAAGAGGAAAGCTACACACACACAGAGAGGTATCTCCCTCCCCTATCACAGCAGATACCTAAGGCAGTGACAGCCCAGTGAGGGGCTGACCACACTCAACCCAAGGTCACAGAGAGCAATGGCTGAGGGAAAGAGGTAACCCAGTGCTACAGGAGAGGGGCCTTTAATTTCTGGAAGGAATAAGATTCTGAAAAATGTGAGTATAAAGGACCACAGGCTATGAGCTTGGGCACTGAGGCACCAAAGGGAGGCAAAGGCATTATAGGCAGGGTCCTAGGGGAACGAAGGCCTCCATACCACTCACCTTCAACCGGGAAACAGGCTCTGGGGCTCCCTCTCGCACCCGCAGCATGTACCTCCTGGGTAGGGTGGTAGTCTACAAAGAAACAGCCCACAGGGTCCCCTCTCCTGCCCTTTGTCTACCCTAGGCTCTGCCCTAGGGTCCATGAACCCCATCAGCTCTGCCATAAGGTCCAATGTCAAGAACCCTGGAAGGGCCCTCTTGAGGCAAGAAGTTCAAATTGTTAAAGCACTAAATAGTAAAATCAAAACCCTAAGAAAAATTTTAGAGCATACACACAAACTGCCATCATGACTCTTTAAAAATTAAAAAAAAAAAAAAGAACATGACAAACATCCATCCAGAATTAGTTAAGTGTTAACATTTTATACTATATGGCTTTTAGAACTTTATTTTGCAGTGCTGGGAGCTAAACCCAGAGCCTTTTCCATGCTAGATAAATGCTCTACCACTAAGCTACATCCCCAACCCCAGGTTCTTTTCTTTTTAAGTGTTTCTTAGCTGTAGTCTGGATAGATCCCACCCTTGGGGGTTGAGGTAGGCAGCAAAGACCTCCAGACCCATCCAGCCTGACTACAGGAGTGGGCCTTAGAGACCAATTGGCATCCCAGGTACTGTGAACTCCAGAGCTCAGACCCTTGAACACCAGCCTATCCCTCTGATGAGCAGCAGTTGCTCTACTCAGGGAGGAGAGGAACATGGAAGCTGCCATCAAAAGGGCTGGCTGGAAGACAGCCAGGCTTTTGGGCAAGAACCCCACTGGCCTGATGTACAAAGACCAGAGAGAAGGGGCAGAGACCAAAATGCAGGGAGCCAAAGCCACTGCACTGTCCTCCCAGAGCCAGGGCTTGCCTGGTTGACAGCTTGACCTATGCAGCCTCAGTGGGATCCCACCTGCTGTAGGGTCCTGGGCTCCTCAGACTCCAGAGCAGCCTTGGGGACCGTGGCCTCCGGGAGCTCTACTGTGTCCTCTGTGTCCTCGTCCCCACTGCTGGGTGCTGGGCCTTCTGGAAAGGCGTCTGGGCAGGGACCAAAAGATCCATCAGCCTGAGGAGCCCAGAAACCAGACAGCAGATGGGGGCTGCCCTATGGGGTGGGGCCAGGCTGCCCATGGCCAACACCCAAAGGAGCCTGATCGGTCATTCTCTCTTCTCAGCTTCACCCATAAGCAGGGTCTTATACTCTTACACTGGTATACTTTGTTTGGTTCATTGTATCTTGGCAGATGTTCTTTGTATGTTGATATCTACGCCTGCCCAGGGGAGGAGGAAGCCCAGGAGGGCAGAGGGCAGTCGCTGAGGCTCAGAGAGGCCAGGGCCCTGAGCACAGGGAGCCAGATCCAAAGCTATGTCTATTCCCACTATACCTTGCCTGCACAAGCTGCAGAGTGGGGAGCAGGTAGGTCAGCCTACGGAAGCTGAGAGCAGCCCTGTCAGAGCCTATCCACCCAGCTCTGCCTCCCTGGTCCCCTCCTCAGCCCTGTCAGTCCCACCATAGACCTCTGCTCTTACCTGGCTCTCGGGACAAGCCGAGTATGGGGCCAGGACTTCCGCATCCAGAGACTTCCATTGGCTGCTCCTCAGTGCCCCCAGCATCTGGGAAAGATGATGATTAGACAGGATTAGCCTCACACCCAGGTCACAATCAGGTGCCCAACAAGTCCCTCCAGGGGGACAGGTGAAGGCAAAGCCCAGCAGGCCGCAAGTCTGAGGCTGGGAGGGGGACCAGTGTCAGGCCCCAGTACTGAGCCTAGCTGTGACCTTCAGGCTGGCAATCAAGGCACAGTAAAGGCAGGAAGGACTCCAACCAACCTATCTAGAGTAGAGGGAGCACCTACTGAGAGGCAGCCCCCAAGATTAGAGCTGGAGGGCAGTGGGCACCTGGCAATAATCCACAGAAAGAACTCTACTCCTTCCCTCCCACCAACTCCCTCCCCCCATCCAAGCCCTCACCCTTCTGGTTCCTTGGCATGGGGCACACACCCAGAGGCTCCACAGGGCACATGCCCATCGGCTCCAACATGAAGGCCCCCCTGGAGTTGGGGGTGCACGTGTTCATCCTGAAATCCTTCCGGCTGGCCAGGACCTCGCCCTGACGACTGTGCTGGCAAAAACACCCCCACTGTAGAGGGCCTTCCCAAGCAGGTCTCTTCCCTCCCTGTGCTGGGCTTAATCCTGTACCTGTACAGGGGGCTGTTGTTCTTCTCCACTTCATCAGGGGCCACCAGGGCCATGGGCAGAAGGGGGATGATAAGCAGTTCCTGCATGCAGGATAGGGAGAGGTGAGTTGTGCATTATGTGAGCTCCACGTGGGTACCCACAGAGAGTAGCACCTTCCTACCCTACCACATAAACGTGGCCCTGAGTATAGAGCTAACCCCACCCCAACCCAACCTAAAGTATCAGGACACTCACACTAGGCGCCTGCTCATTCTTCAGATCCACATTAGCCCGGGAGTCTGGGAAGTCATCCAGTGACAGGAACTGCAGGAGACAGCAAGAGCTCATGGTAGCAGAGCCCAGGCAACCCCCCAGAGCAGGGCCATGTATACCAACTCACCTCATCTTCTGCCTCCTGGGGGGTCTCCGAGTTGACAGCCCTGTTGGTCCCATCTTCCTGTACTAAAGAGAGCTGCTTGGCTCGCCTGAGAGAGAAGAACATCCCATGGGCATCCTGGGAGGCTACGAAGCCACTGGAGATGCAAGCAGGGCACAGCTGCAAAACCCAGGCTCTGTCTCTTGGCTTACATTTAGTACTCACCTCTTGCCAGAGATGAAATCAAGAGCCTGGTAGACCAGTGAGTAGAGATACTCCACCTGGAAACCAGAGGTAGGCAATGAGGCCATGGAAAGGAGGGGCCCACCCTCAATGGTCCGCAGGCCTCCCCTGAAACCTTCCCAACTAGATGCTGGCATACACTGAGGCCTGGCCATCGCTTCCAAACCTCCATGAGCCCTGTCCATTTTGCCACCAAAAATAATTCTCACCAGATGTGGTAGTACACACCTGTAATCCCAGCACTTAGGAAGCTAAGGTAGGAGGATCTCAAATTCAAGGCCAGACTATGGTACAAAGCAAGACCCTGCCTCAAAAACCCAAAACTGGATGAGTACCCAGTGGTTCAAGCCTATAATCCTAGCTACTCAGGAGGCAGACATCAGGAAGATAGAGGTCAAGTCAGCAAATAGTTTGCTAGACCCTATCTCGATAAACCCAACACGAAAAATGGCTGATAGAGTGGCTCAAGTGATAAGAGTGCCTGTCTAGCAAGCATGAGGTCCTGAGTCCAAAACCCAGTGCTGCCAAAAAAAAAAAAAAACCAACCAAAGAAAAACCCTCAAAATTAATTCTCAAGTCAAATCAATCAGTCGTCTGATCAGAAAATTAATCCAACTACCAAGGCTCCTAATTCTCCTCTCCTGTGCCTCATATTCCACATAGCAAGCATGGCCTCCTCAACAGAGGGTGTGGCCACACCACAATGGGGCGCCTACTGTGTGCCTGACACAACCCTTGGCAGAGGCAAATTGGGCTCCTTATACATGGCAACTACTGCTCTCTTCTGCCCATGGGCTCCCACCAGTGCCCCACACCAGTTCCTTCTCCTCCTCTTTCTCTGGTCCTGGCCAGGCTGCCCCATCCACAGAAACCCAGTGATGGTCACAACTCCAGCCATGCTGGGCCTGCCTAACAAATCCTTCACTTCACTTGCTTCTTGTCTGTCTCCTCCACAGAATAGGAGGTCCCACCACTAGAGCTGATGATGAAGCACCCACATGTGAGGGGCAAGAAAGGCAGAGCATATACACATGCTGGACTACTGCTAAGTGCGTGCATGAGGGATAACAGCATCCATAGCACACATGACCCTCTCTTCTTGGCCATGCTATTTTATTTTCTTATTCATTTATTGTGGTACTAAGGATCCAATGAGATCCTGACTTACACTCCCAGCCAGGTTGTACCTTTTTCTTTTTTTCGGTATTGCGTTTGAACTCAGGTCTTCAGCTCGCTAGGAAGATACCTTACCACTTGAGCCACATCAGCCCTTTTCGCTTTATTTTTCAGATAGGGTCTTATGTTTTTGCCTGGGGTTGACCTTCCTGAGCTCTACCTCTTGAGTAGTTAGGATTATAGACATGAGGCACTGTGGCCAGCATGGCCGTGCCATTTTAAACCCAAGTTTATCTTTGGTATTAAAATGTGAAGGAATCAGGAGTGCAGCTGCAGTGCTGACAAGGCAGGTCATAGAAAGATAAACACTGCTGCTTCCCCAAGAGAGTTGACCAAGGTTACTTGACACTAAAGTACCAATCAGGACCCCACTGGGCTCACCTTTTTACTGTAGACACAGGCTGAACCCTGGATCAGCAGCGCTGCCTCAATGAAGTTCATTGTGGTTTTGCCTTCGTCAAAAGAAATGCAAATCTGGTCCAGCTGCAAGAAAGGACACCAGTACAGGGGAAGCTGAGGCCCAGTCTGTGCTCATGTCCTCCCAGGGCAATCCTACCCACCACCCACATGCACAGATAGCTCCAGTTCTGCTCTGGGCTCACCAGTTGCCCTGGATTTTTCTGGAGGGGAGAGACAGTTCTTTGTGATTACCCCTACTTCCTGTATCCTCTGAGACTAGTGTTTTGGGAAAGAAAGGCCCCCAGACCATACTGTCCACAACTGCCAGAACTGCATACCAGCTCACCCAGATTGAGGCCGAGTAGGACAGACTCTAGCAGGAAAAACCCTCACCCAGAGAAAAAGAAAGGGAGACAGACAAATGCCAGGGTCTCCATCCTTTGAGCAGGGAACCCAGGAATCAGAGAAGTCAGCAATCCTCCTTCCTTTGTAACCCACTTGGGCCTCTCTGAGCCTCAGCTCCTGTGTTACTCCCTAAACACCAGCATCCTGGGACTCCACTCTCAGCCCTGACTCTTCCTCTGGCACAACTTCCAAGCTCTTTGGTTTTGCTTTTCCACCTGTCTGGGATGCCTCTCCCCAGTGCAAACTCTTGCTCTGTGCATTCATCTGTCCCACATGCATTAGTAAGCCTGAGTTACCAATGGACTGCATACCAACAACTCCCAAGCTCATCTCTAGATCAGCTTTCTCTCTGAAGCTCTGGGGCTGCATTTACAGCTGCCCACTAAAGATCTCCAAAGACATCAAAATAGCCCCAGAATTTTTTTTAAGGTTCTGGGGATAGAACCCAGGGTCTTGGGCATGCTATACTCTTACCACTGAGGGACACCCTCAACCCCCCAAATATTTTCTGTCTGCACTTAACCATAAAAGATTTCCCCTCTCCTAAACATCTCTCAAAGAACAACACCTTGAAGTCCTGTTCTTCCATTTGCCTCGAATGCCTGACCCCAGTGCAAACTTTTGCAGTGTCTCCATTGCTGTCTGGGACCTCCTTGACATCCCAGTGTGACCTTGTTACAGTATTTTCAAGTCTCTTCTTCCTTGGTGGACTGTGAGAAGCATTAGGGTAATTCCAGTCTTTATTCAATGCCTGATGCTGGTGTCCAATAAATATTTGATGAACTGAAATGAAGTCAGAGCTAGCCTAAGAAATGGATAGCTCACCAGGCAGGTGAAAAAAAAAATGGTATTTTAGGAAGAATGATCACCCATGAAAAGATAGGATAAAACCATGTAGGAAAATGAGTACTACACCAAATGGCCGAAGCATAGGGTATGCTGGGGGCAAAAGAGAGGTGTTGGGCACTGTGGTACCACAAAGAAGGGAACGATCTGGGAGTACATCACCAAGGAGAGCTGTTTCCACTAATTCTTGAAGGACAAAGGGAGATTGTCAGGTGTGGGGGAGGAAAGACACAGGAGTACTGTAGTCTACAGAAGTATGAAAGCTGCGGAGTACCCAGGACCTGGCTTGAAAGAAGAGAATGTGGAGGAAGCTCTTCCTTTCAATGACCCTTAACCCAGGCTGGCTTGACTCTCATGACTCCAGGCTGGAATTCCCAGCTAAGCTTAAATCCATACATCTACTGCCTTCTTTAGTGTTCAGATGTCATAACCAAGCCTCACGATCAACAAATCCATGCTGAGCTCTAGACATTCCCACTATTCCCAGAAACTCAGGGGTCTCAGCTCCTTCCCTCTTTTCTCTCCCCTGCCCATTCAATCTTGGTCCCATTCCCTGCTACTTCCAAGTTCCTCTACAGTGACCACCACTGCTCTGAGTCAACCTGGACCTCTGCACTAACAGGACCTTTCTTGCCCCTCATTCTCCTCCCCTACTCTTCACTGGCCAGTGCTTACATCATTCTACTCAGACCCTAATGGCCACTCCTAGGAAAAAAAACCAAAAATCCTCAATAGAGCCCCCAAATGCAGGGAAGGAGGGAAAAATAAATCTTTTCTGGGGATAGGCACAAGGGGGCATGAGGGTGTATATGGTGGATGTGTTTTGTATCCACATATGAAAACAGAAGAATGAAACTTGTTGAAATTGTTCTAAGAAGGGGGGGAGGGAGGAAGAGGGAGAATGATGAGGGGGTACATCCAACTAAGATATATTTTAAACACATATGTAAATATCACAATGCATCCCCCTATACAACTATTATATAGAAAAACAAAAACAAAAACAAGAGCCCCTGAGGGAGGCCTGCATATTCACCAGCCTTCCTGTCCACCTACCATCCCTTCCCTACCCCATGCACAGCAGTCCCACTGACCCACTTTCAGAAGTGCCTTCTAACCTCAAAATCTTCCAAGCATTGTGTTCCCTCTGCATGGAACATTCTTCGGCTAGCTAGGACAAGGCAACTCCTTTTACCCCAAGCAAAATTAGCTTCCACACTCCAACTCTTCATAGAACCTTAAACTGTTCTTTCAAACCTATCACCAGTTTGTGACTACACAAAGACACACATAGTAGATGTGACTTGGGGCACATCACTTAATCTCTCTAGTGCCTATGAAATTGTTTTTGTGAGTTACTTCAATTTGTAACACACACACCCAAAAAGGTGTGTACACCATACACAATAGATATTTAGCAATAATGAATAAGTAAATGAAAGATAACATAAATTGTGTTAGGAAAAAAAAGAACATTCTAGTAAATGTACTGAAAACAAAAGAACATAGACAAAACTAGAGGCTAGGAAATCAGGACTCCACGGTGTTTGAAAGATCCGTCTTCTTTGAAGCATGAGGGGAGTTGATCAAGCTGGAAAGCAGAGTTACCAGGTGTCCTCATACTGTGGAAACCTTAAATCATAGTAGGTCTACTGGACACAGATCTCTGCATTTTCTCAGCAAACTGCACGGAGCAGAGAAAGGTGACCATCAGATCACCTATTCACTTAAAAGTGTTTACTGTGCATCTACTATGTGCCAGGCACTCTACAAGCAGAAGGAAAAGAGCTTATGCATGGTTCCTATTGTTGCAGAATTTACATTCCAGGGTGGAAACAGACCACAAATAAATGAAAGACGGGCTTGTGATAAACATTCTAAAATACATAAAGTACTATGACAGAAAAAACTACTTTAGATAGTTTAAGCTAGGAACCTAAAGGATGAAAAAAACTTAAGTCATAAAAGAATAGTCCTTAATGGGCACAGAAATTATAAAGACCCTCAGCCAAGAATGAGCTTGGGATACCATAGGTTGACAAGTTCAAAAAAACAAGGGAGCCAGGAACCAGTAGCTCATACCTGTAATCCTAGCTACCCTACCCAGGAGGTAAAGATGAGGAAGATCGAGGTTCCAGAACAACCAGGGCAAAAAGTGAGACCCTATCTCAAAAATACCGAGTACAAAAAAGGACTGGTAGAGTGGCTCAAGTAGTAGAGCACTTGCCTAGCAAGCACAGAGCTCTGAGTTCAAAACCCAGCACAAAACAAATAACCAAACAATCAAAAAGAACAAGGGAAAGGAGCTGAGGGTATGGCTCAGGGACAGAGCACTGCCTAACATGTGCAAGACCTTGGATTTGCACAATATGGAATAAAATAAAGTTACAAACAACAACAAAGAACAAGGTAGAGAACAGCCTGAGGTGAGACTGAAACAGTGAACAGGACCAGAGTCTGAAAAGGAAGTTTGGATTTTATGCTGAGTGCAATGAAAAACCACTGTGGGATTTTAGACAGGGCAGTGCTGTGGCCTGATTTTAATTAAAAATTATGCTTGCTGCTGGATGGAGCATGAATTAGATGGAAGGCTGTAACCAGATGGGAATGAAGGTTTTCAACAGATCCAAGCCTGGACCAGAAATAACAGAACAGATGAACTCAAGTGATATTCTGATGGTAAAATTCACAGAATTCATGGATAAACTTGGTGTGGAGTACGGCGTTTCACTACAAGCTCTCTCTCTCTCTTTTTTTTTTTTTTTTGACAAGAATGAGACTTTAATCAGTTTTAAGTGGAGTTTATAACACTAAGAGATAAAGGGTTGTTAACAAACACGAGAACAAATGGACATCTGATTGGTAGTAGGCATGATCCTGTACATGTGTTTTTTTGTTTTTGTATCCTCAGTGCACAGCATTTACACACAGAGCCACTGCTGCACAACACAAGAGTGTCTGAAGAGGCTGAATCAGAGTAAGGCTGTTTAAGAGACTGACATTTTTTAGTATATATATTCTAGATGAAAACAGATTGAACTTTTGAACTGGCAGGTAGAAGGCAACTCTGCCAAATACTACAGTGAAAGCCCCCACTTTAGTGCACAGTTCCACCCCTTCCATCTGCAAGCATGACACATTAACAGTATTTAAAGGTAAACGAGGCACTTTGTGGCAACCACAGCCATCGTTATGAACATATTGCACAAATTTTCTAGAACTAAACATGTAACTTGTACCCTACTTGTATTTTTTAAAGCTGAAACATTTGATGCTGCCGGTAAACTCCACTTAAGTTTATAACCTGTGCCACAGCAAAGAATGGTGATGCTATTTATTCAACTACCCTTTTTATAATTACAGCAAAAATGTCCAAGAGGAATTACAGAGGACTTGGGATGGTACAGGGCCCAACTGTAAGCTTTCTGGAAAGTGATGCCTTCAAGTAATTTCAGACATGTAAGCTGCTGCACATCCAAAAGTCTAAGAAAACATTCCAGAAACTTGGTAGAGATTACCTACAGAATGCATTTCAGGCTAATTATGAATACTGTCATAAATAAAGTTTTAATCAGGACTCAAAAACCTTTCAGTCATAGCAATTCTTGTCAAATTCTATGGGATGGTAACTGAAATAAAAGTAAGGAGAGTAACTACAAGCTCTCTTAACAGTGGTGCTATTTATCAAGATGGGGAACACTAGCACCAACGCAGAAAAACAAAGAACTCCACGTTAAATAAATTAAATCTAAGGGCTCAAGTAACATCCCAGTGGATGGCAGATTCGGAGAACAGACTGGGAGAAGAGGCATAAATCTGAGAGTCTTTATACAGGTTATATTTTAAATCACTGAAATGTGAAATTGTTTAAGCGAAAGAAGGCTCCATGCTGAAGTGTTCGACACTTCAAGAGAAAAAGTAGGCAGTGAAACAGGAAGAAAACCATAGCAACACTGTTTCAAAAAGGAAGGAGTGGTCAACAAATGCAGCTCAGCCGAATGACATTTCTAGTGTTCCTCGGATTTAGTAGGATGGTCACTACTGAGCAAGGGATGTGTAAAGTATGCATTAGTGGGAGCCAGATTGTGCTTTTTCAGGAGTGAAAGGAAACGCAGAAATAAAGCAGACAGTTCTTCAACAGAGGTCTAGACACAGCTATTAAATGTGGAAGAATTAAATGCTGACAGAATCAAACATGGCACTAACTTGAAACTGGCTTGAAGATTCAAGATAAGAAATCTCTCCGACGTCGCGATTCGGCTCTCTCAAAACACACAAACATGCCCACGACACACAAAGCGAAGACGACACCATTTCCTACTCTATTCCAACACCTTGGAAAAACATGCCGGTCACAACCCACCAAATCTCAGGGCTGGGTGACAGGTAGAGATCTGCAATGACAGGCCCAGGCTAATCCAACGAGGGGTGATTTCGAGAAGCAGGGAAGGAGTTGCGGGAAAAGCCTGAGGTAGGGGCAGCCAAAGGGCCAGATGGCCACAGACCCGAGGCAGCCGTGCAGCCCCCGCCCCTGCCATTCCCGCTCCGCTCTCACCTCCTCCAGATACTCGCCCAGCTGGGCCGCCACGTCCACCTCCCAGTTCTTGGTGAGATCGCGGATGGGCTGCAAGAGGTGGGCGAAGCGCGCCTCTACGTCCTCCATGTCCGCAAGGGCCCGCCGCCCGGGGACCGCAGGGCCGACTTCCAACAAGGCCGCGGGCTCAGCCCGCCACTGGTTCTGGCGCCATTTTGCTGTTCCCGCCCAGGAAGTACGTACTCGGGGTGCCGAGCGCGCATCTATTACGTAACGCGGACCACCGTCCCCCACCAACACACAACACACACCAACACGCACGCACGCGCACGCACGCACGCACGCGCACGCACGCACGCGCACGCACAGGCTTGCGGAAAAGCTGAGATCTACAGCGGGGTAGAGTCTGTGTGCCGGGGACGGAGATTCGAGGGAGGCAGTGAGAGGACCTAAGGGGCGGGGCGGTAGGTGGGACTGCAGCGTGGGGGCGGGGCTACCGCGGGGCGGGGCTACGGGTGGGCGGGGTCTAACGCGGTGGAATGCAGGGGCTGGGCGGAGCCGCGGGATCCGCGGGCTCTGCGCTAGCTGGCCGCGTAGCGGACATGGCGGGCTCCCACGTCCCGCGGCAGCTTTTCCTCCAGGGCGTGGCCGCGGTCTTCATGTTTGCCTTCGCTTCCCTCTACACGCAGATCCCGGGTGAGGGCGCCGAGGGTGGGACGTCCGCCAACCCGCTTGCGGGGCTCTGTGTGATCTCCCTCCACCCTGCACTCGCGCGGTCTGGGGCGGCGTGACATCCAGGCCTTCACGCGGGGTTAGGGGACAGCGGTTCTTATCCTGCGTGCCGTGGGGATGTGGCGGTAGAAGAACGTGCAACGTCCGTTTCCCATAGGGTTCGGGTTCTCACTGGGGTAGGGGCAGAACCCTAGGAGCCACGTAGCTTCTGGTCCCAGGTGGGTGTCAACAGGTTCTAACCTAGGGGAGAACATCTGCAGTGACTGCAAGGTCCTGAGCTGGAGTGGGGGACATCTGCAGGCACTGACTCAGGATGAATTTAGTCTGGGAGGGCAGTGTCCAAGGCCTAGCCTGACATGCCTTCTCAACAGGCCTGTATGGACCAGAGGGCATCCTACCTGCACGGAGGACGCTGCGACCTCAGGGCAAGGGGCGCTGGCAGCAGCTGTGGGAGACACCAACTCTCTTATGGGAGGCACCGAGGCTGGGGCTGGACACAGCCCAGGGCCTGGAGCTACTAACCCTGCTGGGCACAGTGCTGGCCCTAGGTGCCCTGCTCCTGCGCCCTCTGCGCCACCCTCTCATCTACCTGCTGCTTTGGGCTGCCTACCTGTCAGCTTGCCAGGCAAGTGAGACCCTTGTCACTCTACCTCCCCCACCCCCATCCTACTAACCCACCTCTGCCTCACCTGACCTGGCAGACACACACCATTTCCCTGACAGCTGTTCTCTCTGCAGGTGGGCCAGGTGTTCCTTTATTTCCAGTGGTGAGTTATTACTGGGTCAGGGCTACTGAGGCTGGGCAGGGGTGTTTGCCTCTCCTGGGAAGACCCCCCCCAGGGGAGCAGCCTTGATGGGAAGGGGCCCTTTGTGCTATTTCCTTTACCTGTAGGGATTCCTTGCTGCTGGAGACAGGATTCCTGGCTGTGCTGGTGGCGCCCCTCAAGCAGCCCCTCAACCACAAGCAGCCTCCCCAGGGCAGACTGTCAGGGGCCTCACTCCATGAAGGCCTCCCCTTCTGGCTTGTGCGCTGGCTGCTATTTCGCCTCATGTTCGCCTCTGGTGTGGTCAAGCTGACCAGCCGCTGCCCCACATGGTGGGGGCTCACTGGTGAGGATCCGGGCCTGAACCTGGGGTGGTCTGGAGGCTCTGCTCAGCCCTGACCACCTGCCCATGACCTGCAGCCCTCACCTACCACTATGAGACACAGTGCTTGCCCACACCAGCCGCCTGGCTCGCTCACCACCTGCCGGTCTGGCTACACAAGCTCAGTGTGGTGGCCACCTTCCTCATCGAGATTGCAGTGCCCCCTCTGTTCTTCGCCCCCATTCGCCGCCTGCGTTTGGCTGCCTTCTACACTCAGGTGAGCGGGGGACAGGGTGTGGCCTTCATCACTGGCCAGTGGGTCCCCCTAGGGACAGATGACTGCTACTGTCAGGAAAGCCTCACAGTTAGAGATGTTACTCACATGTGAAAACGTGTGCCATAAGGCAGGACCCCGTGGGGGCCTCTGGAACTCAGTACACACCCCGCCTCCAGGTGCTTTTGCAAGTCCTGATTATTATCACCGGCAACTATAACTTCTTCAACCTGCTGACTTTGGTACTCACCACTTCCCTCCTGGATGACCATCACCTGTCCGCTGGGCCTGACCTCAGCCGCCACAAGAGGATGTCTACCTGTGAGTGTTAACCTGTCTGGGCAGCTGGCTGTCCTGGTCCCTTACCCTCCCAGGGTTTCTCCTTCCCTCCAACACCCCATAAAGGACCCCTGCTCCAACTCCACCTAGACAACCTGGCTGCGGCCCCTTAGCCAACCTGTGACTGTCCTGCCCCACAGCCTGGCCCAAGGCCCTTCTGGCTGCATTGTCCCTGCTGCTGGAACTGGCTGTCTATGGGCTGCTGGCCTACGGCACTGTGCACTACTTTGGCCTGGAGGTTGACTGGCAGAAGTACACGATCCAATCCAGAACCAGTGAGTATTGGCTGAGGAACCCAAGGGCAAGGGTTGGGCCAGCTCTCCTCATATCCCTTTCTTTTGGCAGCCTTCACCTTCCACCAGTTCTCCCAGTGGCTGAAGACAGTGACTCTGCCCACTGTGTGGCTAGGAATGGCTTCCCTGGCCTGGGAGCTGCTGACCACCCTCTGGAGGTGTGTGCCCTAGAGTGGCAGTGGTGGGATGGGGGGAGGGTCGGGGCAGCTTTCAGTTCAGGCCTGACTATACTTATGCTCTGTTTCCAGGTGGATCCAGGTGCAAGGATGGCTACAGAAGCTCACTGCTGCAGTCCAACTTTCTGTTTTGGGTGTTACCACAGTGGCCTTGTTCTTGATCAGCCTGGTGGGTAGCAGTGGAGAGGATCAGGGTTGGAGGAACCTGGGGGGAAGCACTAAGCCTCTGCCTACCTGCCTGCAGGTGCCCTACTCTTATGTGGAGGCTGGGACCCATGGGCATCTCTGGACCGGGGCCCACCGCCTGTTCAGTGCTGTGGAGCACCTGCAGCTGGCCAACTCATATGGCCTCTTCCGCCGAATGACTGGAGTTGGTGGGCGGCCTGAAGTGGTGCTGGAGGGCAGCTACGATGGACATCACTGGACAGTGAGCCCTCCTAAGGGGTGGGGTAGTAGGGATCCACTCCAGCCATCTAAGCTGACCTTAGATCTATCTGGCAGGAGATCGAGTTCATGTACAAGCCTGGGAATGTGAGCCGACCACCCCCCATCCTGGTTCCCCACCAGCCACGCCTTGACTGGCAGATGTGGTTTGCAGCCCTGGGCCCCCACACACATAGCCCCTGGTTCACCAGCCTGGTGTTTCGCCTACTGCAGGGCAAGGAGCCAGGTGAAGGGCAGGCCGGGGGAGGGTTGAGGAAGGGCATATGCAGGATTCAGGGCCATGCTGAGTCCCCTCCCCTGTACAGTGATCCGCCTGGTTCAGAATCATGTCGCCAGTTACCCATTTCACAAGCAGCCGCCCACCTACATCCGGGCCCAGCGCTACAAGTACTGGTTCTCACAGCCTGGGGAGAAGGGGTAAGGCCAGGGCTCCAGGTGGGGTGCTGGGGCCTGGGTTCTGGCCATGCACTGAACATCCAGTTCTATTGCGGTAGGTGGTGGCACCGCCAGTGGGTGGAGGAATTTTTCCCACCTGTGTCTCTGGGTGACCCAAAGCTGGAGATGCTGCTCAGGCAGTTTGGGCTTCAGGTAGGAGGGTATCAGCCAGTCTGGGGGAGGTGGCAAGGTGAACCCTCCACAGGGGCGAGCCCTGAGAGCCTTCTTCAATCCTGTCCCCACAGGACAAGAGTCCACCCCGGGCCCACAGCCCCAGAAGAGCCCTGGCCCAGGCCCTCCACTGGGTGCGGACACAGCTATCTCCCCTGGAGCCTCCCACCTTGCTCTGGGGACTTCTGGGGGCTGTGGGAGCTGTCAGAATTGTGCAGGCCCTAATGACCCCCTGGTCATTCCAGTCCTCACTTCTGGCCCGAGGAGAAAAGCACAAGTCTGCCCCCAAGAAGGATTCTGGAACTGCCTCTGAGCAGGCTGACCCAGCTCCAAACAGCAATAGCAGCGGCACCCGGGCCACCCGGAGGAAAAAGTAGCTGCATGTGCTATTAGCCACATGTCCCAAGAAGATCAGGTCCCTAGAGCTCTGACTCTGACCAGCAGCAGGACATAGCTCAGTTACTGTGCCTTAGCCAATCCTGCCAGGGCAAACACAGGTTGGGGTGCTGCCCACTAAAGATTGCTGAGTACTACCTTGAGGGCCCACTCATCTCCCCATGACAACCACATCCCTCCCCAATCACCCCCCACTGCCTCACCATTTGGCCCAGAAGTGGGCATGTGACAGCCTCTCAGGTCCTTCCTAGGACATCATATTCAGCATGGGAGCCCTGCCTCTATTACCAGCTTGTAGAAGACTGGGTCTAGAGCCCCCACCCCAGCCCCAGTATGGAGGGGCTGGACTCACTGGGGAGAGGAGCAGGGAAGGTGGTCACTCACAATGGCAGCTCCTCACATGCCTGTCCATCCTCCAGTCCTGCCCTTCAGACCTGTTCTTCAGACCCATGCACCAATAAAGGCATCCTTTGTGCATGGCTTTATATTGGTGCTTCCTTCCTGCTAGGGAGGCCTGAGGACAGTGGGCACAGCCCAAATGCTTGTTACTGACCTAGCTTAATGGGGAACCTCCTTGTCCCTCCTCAGTATTCTCTATGAAATGGACAAGAGGGTCTGGCCACAGGAACCTTAGGGCAGCACAGCTTGGTGGACTTGTCACACTAGGGCTGTGAGGCCATTGGTGTAAGGTGGGGACAGATCCAGACAAGGGCCAGAGAACTTGCCAGAACCCAGCCCTTTCCCCTCTCCTCTCCACTTCCTGGTCTTAAGAGAGGACAGAAGGATCAGAGTGTGCAGGGATGAAGGAGAAACAAAGCAGGAAGGAGAAGAAGAGGACAAAGGTTGGTAGGTCAGTGGAGGTCCTAGGTCTCAGGCAGAAGAGGGAAGGTGGGTCTTGCCACCTCCAGCCGCATCCTGGAAGGAAGACAGGAGTGGCATGGTAATTGGCATATACCATCCAGGTCTCCACTTGGGGTCAGGTTGTCAGGTCACCCACCACCCTCCCTGGGACCTTACAGCACAGCTTTTCCATCCTTGCTTTATCCACACCCCCACCCAATGTTCTTGCCCACAGACCCCCTTGACAGCCCTCATATCACCAACCTCCCCTCCAAGACCATACAGACGGCTGGCTCCCAACTCCACCAGAGCCTAAAATCTGAGCTTCCAGGTGCCTTCAAGGGACTCTTGCACATAGAATAAACAAACTAGAAGCTGGCTTTGTCTTAAAAAATGAGTAATGTATTTGAAATGTAAAAACCTGTTCTTTATCTAAGGCTTTTAAGCCCAGTTTGTGAATCTCCATTGGGTTTTCTGTGACAGCTTCCTTGATAATTCTCATGCTATACAATTCACCCATTTAAAGTACACAATTCAATGGCTTTGAGTATATTCACAGTTGTACATCCAGCACCAATCTGTTCTAGAACCTTCTCATCTGAAGGAGAAACTTCATACCCCCAGCAGTACAAGATTTGGCCTAGCATGCAGGAAGCCCTGGGTTCCATCCCCTGAAATCCCTAAAGAGAAAAATTGAATAATATAGGCCCTTTTGTGTCTTCTTTTGTTCAGCATGATGTTTTCAAGGCACTTCCACTTTGTAATGTGTATGTGTACTCCGTTCTTTTATGGCTGAGTAGTGTTCCATTCATCCTTTGATAATTTGGGTTGTTTCTACCTCCTTTTACTATAATTGATAGTATAGTGCTGGGCCACTATCAATTATTTGAAGTCAGGGCCTCACACTTACTGTACAGGCGCTCTTACCACTTGAGCCACACCAACAGCCCTTTTTTGTGATGGGTTTTTTCAAGATATGGTCTTGATAAATGGATGGAACTGGAGAACATAATTCTGAGTGAGGTTGTTAACCTGCCCCAAAAGACCAAATGTTGTATGTTCTCCCTCATATGTGGACATTAGATCAAGGGCAAACACAACAAGGGGATTGGACTTTGAGCACATGATAAAGGAAGAGCATACAAGGGAGGGGTGAGGATAGGTAAGACACTCAAAAACCTAGATAGCATTTGTTGCCCTCAATGCAGAGAAACTAATGCAGATACTTTAAAATAACTGAGGCCAATAGGAGAAGGGAACCAGGAACTAGAGAAAAGGTTAGTTCAAGAAGAATTAATTTAGAAGGTAACACATGCACAGGAAATCAATGCAAGTCAACTCCCTGTATAGCTATCCTTATCTTAGCTAGCAAAAACCCTTGGTCCTTCCTATTTTTTTTCTTTCAACACTTTATTTTTTTTTAATTTTTATTTTATTCATATGTGCATACATTGTTTGGGTCATTTCTACCCCCTTCCCCCCGCCCCCTCCCTTACCCCCCTGGTCCTTCCTATTATTGCTTATACTCGCTCTTCAACAAAATTAGAGATAAGGGCAAAATAGTTTCTGCCTGGTGCTGGTGGGGAAGGGGGGAGAAATGACCCAAACATTGTATGCATATATGAATAAAAGAAGAAAAAAAAAGATACGGCCTTGAGAACTATTTGCCCAGGGCTGGCTTTGAACCTCAATCCTCCTGATCTCTGCCTCCTGAGTAGCTAGGATTACAGGTATAAGCCACCAGCACCTGGCTTCTCTCTTTTAAAACTGATAACTTCAAATGGACAAAAAAAAAAAAAATTTTAGTCCATTTACCATTTTAACTACTTCGTAAGTGTAATTTTTTTTTTCCCAGCAGTACTGGGGATTAAACTCAGGAGCTTCTACTTTTTAGGCAAATGCTCTACCGCTTGGGCCATGCCCCGGTGCTTTTGCTTCTAGTTTGCTTTTCGGGTAGGGTCTTCCAGAAGCTAACTCCTGCCTCAAACTACAATCCTTTTGTCTCTGCCACCAGAGTAACTGAGATAAGACATACCACCACACCCCGCTAATTTTGTCTTTTTAACTGATGTTTGTAGTGAAAAATATATATAGCATATTTGCCATTTTAACCATTTTTAAGTATAGTTTTGTAGCATTAACTACATTAACAGTGTGATGATACAACCATCACCATTTGCAGAACATTTTCATCACCCCTAACAGAAACCCTGCCTCCCTTAAACAACCACTCTCTGCTCAAACAACTTCTGTTTTGCGTTATGTCTCTGAATTTTTTATCCAAGGCACCTCATATAAGTTGATCATACAGTATCTTTCCTTTTGCATCTAGTGTGTTTAGCATGGTATTTTCAAGATTCATCCATGTTATAACATAGATCAGAATTTTATATTTTTATGGCTGAATAATGCCCTGTTGCTTGTATAGATTGCTTTTTTATTTTTTAAGACAGGGTTCCATGCTGGGCACCGGTGGTTCACACATTTAATCCTAGCTACTCAGGAGGCAGAGATCAAGAGAATCACAGTTTGAAGACAGCCCTGGCATATAGTTCATAGATCCTATCTCAAAAAAACCCAACACAAAAAAAAAGGGCTGGTGAAGTGGCTTAAGGTGTAGGCCCTGAGTTCAAACCAACCCCAAAAAAAAATTGCAAAAGAAAGACTCCTGCTATTGTGAATTTTGCTGGTCTTGAACTCCTGGGTTCAAGTGGTCCTCCTGCCTTAGCCTCATAGGGATTATAGGCAGTGCCTCAAATGGCCACTGGGGTTGTTCCTACTTTTCGGTTATAGTGAATAGTACTGCTATGAACACCGGTGTACAAATATCTGTTTAAGTTCCTGCTTTAAGTTCTTTGGCATATACCTAGGAGTGGAAATGCAAGATTATATGGTGATTTTGAGGCTGACATTCTAAGGAACCACCAAGATTTTCCACAGCATCTACACTATTTTGCATTCCCACCCACTATGCATAAGGATTCCAGTTTCTCCACATAACAACACTTGTTTTCCTTTGTTGGTGTTTTTAGTTTTTGATGTTGTTTTGATATGATATTTGAGCTCCTCCTGCCTCAGCACCCAGAGTGCTGGATTACAAGCCTACACCACCACACCTAGCATTGTGAGCAACTTTCATGTATTTGTGGCTGTGTATCTTGGAGAAAAGTCAGTTCAAGGGGCTGGCAGAGTGGCTCAAGTAGTAGAATGCCTGCTGAGCAAGCATAAGACCCTGAGTTCAAACCCCAGTGCTGCCAAAAAAAAAAAAAAAAGACAATTTAAGTCCTTTGCCCAGCCTCTTCCTCAACACTGCCTACCGTGGTGGCAGCTGCTATCTCCTACTCGGCATCATGGCTGCCCTCAGACCTCTGGTGAAGCCCAAGATCGTGAGAAAGAGGACCAAGAAGTTCATCCCGCACCAGTCAGACCGCTATGTCAAAATTAAGCGTAACTGGCGGAAACCTAAGGGTATCGACAACCGAGTGCGGAGACGATTCAAGGGCCAGATCGTGATGCCCAACATCGGTCACAGAGCAAAAAGAAAACAAAGCACATGCTGCCCAGTGGCTTCCGGAAGTTCCTGGTCCACAACGTCAAGAAGCTGCAAGTGCTCCTGATGTGCAAGAAATCTTACTGTGCTGAGATTGCTCGCAGTGTTTCCTCCAAGAACCGCAAAGCCATCCAGGAAAGAGCAGCCCAGCTGGCCATCAGTCACTAACCCCAATGCCAGGCTGCGCAGTGAAGAAAACGAATAGAGGGCCCACGTGCACGTTTTATTTGTGCTTAAATAAACCTTCAAAAACTGCAAAAAAAGATCCTTTGCCCATTTTTTAATTGGGTATTTTGGTTTTTGATAGTTGAGTTGTAGAGTTCTTTATATATTCTGGATACTAATCCTTTATCAGATATATGATTTTACAAATATCCCCTCCCTTTCTGTGAGTCATTTTTTCCAATCTCTCTAACATGAGCCAGGCATGGGTGGCTCATGCCTGTAATTCTAGCTAGTCAGGAGGCAGAGATCAGGAGGATCTTAGTTCAAAGCCTGAGCAAAGAGTTCGAGAGACCCTATCTTGAAAAAAAAAAATCCTTCACAAAAAAAGGGCTGGTGGAGTGGCTCAAGATGTAGACCCTGAGTTCAAGCCCCAGTACCCCTTGCCCCCAAAAAAGTTGGGGGGCTGGGCACCAGTGGTTCACACTTAAAATCCTAGTACTTGGGAGGCTGAGATTCGGGGGGATCACAGGTCAAGGCCAGCCTAGGCAAATAGTTCATGCAACCCCCTGTGCAAAAAGACCAGAGCAAAATGGACTAGAGATAGAGCACCTGCTTTGCAAGTACAAAGCCCTGAGTTCAAACCCCAGTTCCACAAAAACAAAAAAACAACAACAAAAAAATAAGATATACAAAAAAAAAAAAAAAGGGATTTTGTTTTGTTTTGAGACAGGGTCTCACTATTAGCTCAGGCTGGCCTTCAAACTCACAATCCTCCTGCCTTAGTCTCTCAAGTGCTGGGATTATAGATATGTACCACCACGCCCTGCTAAAAGTTTTTATTTTATGAAATCCCATTCATTTATTCTTGTGCTGCCTGTGCTTTGGTGTCATTTCCAAAAATCATTGCCAAATCCAATGTGGAACTTTTCCTCTGTTTCTCCTAAGAATTTTATCTTCTTAACCCTTAAGTTTAAGTCATTGATCCATTTTAAATTATATGTATGTGGTAGGGGTCATAATTTTGCATATGAATATTTTCTCATTTGTTAAAAAGATGATTCTCCCATCAAGTGGTCTTGGTACCCCTGTGGAAAATCAACTAACTGTAGATGCAAAGGCTTATTTCTGCACTCTCTTATTTTATTCCATTGGTCCATGTATCTTTTCATGCCAGCACCACACTGGTCTGATGACTGCAGCTTTATAGTTCTGAAGTGTAAGTCCTCCACCTTTGTACTTATCAATATAATTTTGGGCATTTGGAGTCCCTGGGGGGGGGGGGGGGGGGGGGGGGGGGGGGGGGGGGGGGGGGGGGGGGGGGGGGGGGGGGGGGGGGGGGGGGGGGGGGGGGGGGGGGGGGGGGGGGGGGGGGGGGGGGGGGGGGGGGGGGGGGGGGGGGGGGGGGGGGGGGGGGGGGGGGGGGGGGGGGGGGGGGGGGGGGGGGGGGGGGGGGGGGGGGGGGGGGGGGGGGGGGGGGGGGGGGGGGGGGGGGGGGGGGGGGGGGGGGGGGGGGGGGGGGGGGGGGGGGGGGGGGGGGGGGGGGGGGGGGGGGGGGGGGGGGGGGGGGGGGGGGGGGGGGGGGGGGGGGGGGGGGGGGGGGGGGGGGGGGGGGGGGGGGGGGGGGGGGGGGGGGGGGGGGGGGGGGGGGGGGGGGGGGGGGGGGGGGGGGGGGGGGGGGGGGGGGGGGGGGGGGGGGGGGGGGGGGGGGGGGGGGGGGGGGGGGGGGGGGGGGGGGGGGGGGGGGGGGGGGGGGGGGGGGGGGGGGGGGGGGGGGGGGGGGGGGGGGGGGGGGGGGG